TTTGAGAATCTAATCAAGACAAGTGGAAATCTCCAGGATTTCATAAATTGTTTAAAAACCCGATTGTACTGCTGCTAGAAGAAGATTAAGAAAATGTGAGCTCAACTCTAGCATATTTCGTTCAAGCTATACAAATCTGGATTATCTATGAAGGAACGTTGATATAGGATCCTCAAAATGGGCAGTGGTATTAAAAAGTAGATTTGTTGAGTGCCCTGCAGGCTGATGGTGTGGTACTTTTTCGGTCTTCTGGAGAATGAAGTTCAATTAGAATTCTAAGGGAATGAGCCTTCTGAGATGCATTCATTCGAGCTATGTCATATGCCACAAAGATGTTTCTATGCACGTTTACTTGGGTTTTTGTTAGAGTGTTCCATGTAAATAACCATATGGGACTCTGATTGATCGTTTTCTCGGGAAAAGGCTGTTTCTGCCCACCGCCTACTTTCGTCTCAGTCCGAAGCTCCAAATTGCTGCCACCATTGAAGTTAATCTGACAGCCAATCTTGTGCTGGAACATAGTCCTTGATTCTTTTACTTTAGGGTGTTGATCTTGTTCTCGCTGGATCGTTCAGGCCTTCCCTCCACAACGGGTGCATACGAATCTCGCCATATGCATGAGATATGCAGACGCGTCATATTCCCTTTCTTCTACATTTTCCGTCTTCTCTCACTTTTTTACATCAAGTCAAATGCAAGGGCGGCAGAACTCTATTTGAAAGCTCCTTTTACTGTCTTTATTCCACCCTTCTTCCAATTCCAATCATCTGATAGTTGAACAATTTGGGAACATGCTGCGCTTCTTCATAATTGTCCTAGGTCTCCGACCCTTTAGTTCCGTCGTTTCTCGAAAAATTCAAGGGGGTCGTAGGGATGTTGGGCCCAAACTTAACAGTCTGAAAGAGCAGATGCGTATGTACTCTGAAAGCCAACCTTGCCAATACATAAGGCTGTCGGCCTGTTCTTTCTCTAATACTTCATTTTGGGCTGCTTTCATCATTCTCTACTTCAGCATCAGCCTTCCCCGCCATTATCTTCTAGAACACCTTTTAAGCGATTGTGTCTGAAGTTCCACACGCATACACATGGTGAGCCACCTGATCCTGAACAAATCACCCGGATGTGACACAATATGTGATAACGACTCGTCATGTTGTTCCTCAGCAAATTAAGAGATACTGCTGAAGCCATACCCTCTCAGCATGTTCTTCCACAGTATTCAATAAATTTCGCTAAGCGTACCTAACTTACCTAATGAGGTTTTGTGAGTATCTTCCATTACCTGGCGGTTGTTGAGCATATAGCGAAGTATAAAAAGAGTTCCAGTGAGAGGTCCATCCTTCGCGGACGAGGTTTTTGGCCCTTTGCTCATCTCTAACAATAAGTCAGTTAGGAATACACTTGGCGGCTAACTTGGACTCAGCCCACAGAAGGAGCTAATGAAAATTTTCTTGGGTTTGCCCCTACAATAACTAATAAACATTGAGGTCTTTATGGAAGGGAATTTGATATCTCAATTTTCATCCTTACACTTTGCGTGCTGCCACCTCAGATATGCCCAACAAAAAATGAAAGCTACATAGTGTTTATGTAAATTGCGAATTTCTCAGTTGCATGCTTGGATGTTCGGGTTAAAGGCACATTTCATGAATATCTGAGTAAAGCACTTCCCTTCTTGATGAGTGGAAAGGTAACCAACCTTGTGCCGTATGCCAACGACTTTGCTGGTTCCTTCTCGTAGAAAAGGTGCTGCTTGTCCAGTTAATTGCCCTACCGACCATCCTGGCAGCCCTGCTATGGTGGCAGCTGTTGTTTTTTTATTGCTAGGAATATGGTCGAATACTATTTTGCGGAATCAGGGCCAATTATGTTTACGTGCTCTACCGGTTACTAAATGTGACTAAGTTGACATTGAAATTGAGGACGTAATAATAACAGCTTGGCCTGAAAACCAGTTGTATTGTCAGCTATGAATCAACAGTCTGGGCAACGGCAACCTTGTGAACCTTANTGACTAAGTTGACATTGAAATTGAGGACGTAATAATAACAGCTTGGCCTGAAAACCAGTTGTATTGTCAGCTATGAATCAACAGCCTGGGCAACGGCAACCTCGTGAACCTTAGCTCCCATACTTCAGATGCTTTTCGTTGCTTTTCGTATAAACGGAGAAAGAAGGGAAGGCTTTTCTTCCTGAGTATCCTGAGTCTCAAGCTCATACAGGCCTCTTGGAAAGTTGTCCAAGAAGTCTGTAGCTCAGAATCGTTCCAAGAGGCTTAAGTAATGAGAATGCGACTAGTTCTTATGGTCGGATGTGGAAAGCAGCACTCAAAGCCATATCATCTGGACTTATATCGACATGCCCGCCTAGGTGGACTGATGGCCTCCCACTTTCAAGAATTCCTCTTCTACTTCTGCTAAACACAATCGCTTCCATACCTTGAACCTGGGGAGGCTGTCGGAATCTTTTTTGTAGAACATTGCTTACCCGTACAGGTCACTTTGAACTCACCGTCAGAGGTGCTCAATAGGCTTACGACCATTGGCTTCTTTTTAGGTGCTTTTTGTAATCACTGACCTCTTCTTTTGAATAGATGCTATTGATAGGCGAAGGACGAACTGATTTATTCGATCATAATAATTACGTCTGGGTTTAATGACTTAACATCTTTACTTTTTTCTTTTACTGATCGCCACTCAAAGTTCATTGCCATGGTTTCGGAATCGTTCACAGCCGGTTCTAGACACTTTAAACAACTACTCACCATCAGCACATTCATGTGTTTTGCTGTGGCGTTTTCGTTCATGCCCCTCATTGACTGAAATTAAACTTTCCTGGACGAAGTTACACCAGAAATATTTATACAGTAATTCAGTAACTTTTAATCGCGCTTTAATTGCTAGTATGCTTGACACTGTAATCTTCTTCATCTATTAACCTGCTTCCATCTAGCTCCTACTATTCATTGGGCCACCTTTTAGAATAGAGATTCTTGTATTTAATACGACCATCATAGAAATTGGTCCTTAGAGATTGTCAGAGACTATCAATGATGAAATAAAAAGATGCGATTCCCAAAAATATGTAGGTGGGGCTTTGAATTGGGCCACTGAATGTTCGCTCTGATGGAAGGTAGAAGTTTTCAAAGTTTGCTTGACCGCTGCTCAATATTGTTAATGTTTTCGACCCTGTCGAGTATTATGATACTATGAGCAGGTTTGGTGATGATTCTTCTGGCGTGAAGACAGTCAGACGTTTCGAGACTATATTTGATGTTCTAGAGAATGTCAAGGTTTGAAGAAAGGAAGCACCATCAGTCCTGGAAGTACTGCAAAGGATAAGGTAGATAAAGGCGCGATAGGATCAAGCGCGCCACTTTCACAAGTTCCTCGGGGCCCAGAATTCTCTGACTCCTTCAGATGAATCGTTTTTATCTGAAACTGAAACCCTACCTGAGAAAACAAAAGCCTCTCCGTTTTGCGTGATAGTGATTAGTTGATAAAGAAGGGTTTGAGAAAGTGAAAGGTAAGCGTTCAATTCCAAGGTGGTGTTTTAACAACCAGTTGTTTATGCTTTTCTGTGAAATGGTTCACTTACACTCCCTCGGAGAACGGTGGCCATGGCCTACGTTCAGTACATAGGGACTGCATATGGGACGTCAAGCCCAGTAGTTTTCCTCAAGGTCTTCATCATGAGAACGTTGCAATGAGTCAATGGTAATATGTATTCATATTGCACGCGCCGTCAAGGAACTCGTCCACGGTGTGTCACATCCTCTTCTAAAACAAAATGCCGCCCAGCATGCTTACGGTTCCGAACGGCAATTGCAGCAATGCTGTGGGCTTCTCGAGGGTTTTGGACTGCGAAATAAATCCGTGATTTTGTATGAAAGGCTCCCGGTTTTAGAATGAAATTGCCCTCTCAAATCTACATCGCCCAAAAGCCCATTATGGAAAAGGAGTGAGGGTATAGATTCGGTGTGAGCCCCACAGACTTTGAAAGCTGAAATTCGCATAACTTCGTTCGTCGAGTGAAATGAGGGGGGTTTACACTAATGATAAGTTCCCTGCTCCTAATAAACTTGTGGCTGTCCGCTCAATTTAGGTCATGAGTGGGTGAAGTTATAAGGCATTATACCTTCAGATACTGAAGCTCGCCTGATGCAACAATTTTCTTTTGTGATGTCACCTTTTCACATCTTTGTCGTTGAGCATTTTCCGCAGGTCTTCTTAACCTCTTCAAAAGCTCAAAGCTACCCCTTTTCCTCTCTTTAATCCGATTATTTCACTCTCTCACCTTTCCTACTGGATTTCACACCATCTTCATGTACACTTTCACTGTTCGCACTCCATCATTCCACTTATGTGAAATAGGACTTTGCTCTGAACTAGAGGGTAATTAATTTCGGCAATCGCTCGAGAGCAGGAACCATTCATATTTGGCATTTTGTTGTTTTTCGGTAATGATTTAATTCTACCATCAAAGCTTCCTCCGTTTCTTTCTTGTGACTGTTTTACTCATAAATCCCTACTAATTTCTATCCAGCTCAGGCCGAAGTAGCAGTGCCTTCGCTTGAAGCGAGTTTTCGAGTTCGTAAGTTATCTTACTCTCCTATTCGCACGCTCTCGGTCTGAACTTGAGGGAGTCCTGAGCAAAAGTGTCTGAGGCCTAGGAATTTCAATGGTTTCACGGACGAAATTATTACTAAACCAAACAAATAGTAAATAATAACTATCAGTGGTATAAAAATTAATATGTATATGTACGGATCATGTCGGTTTCATTTTTTTCAATGAGACGGAAAGATGGAGTTCATGAAGCTTGGCACTGGAAATGTGTTCTGTTCTACTGCCCTAATTTCTCTTATGTAGCTCTATGTATAAGCTGTGCCTCAAAATCCCTTGACTTTGCTCAAATCTTATGTCCTGGAGCTTTCATGAAATTTGTAATTCATAGATTTTTTAAGCAGAGATATGCATGAGTCCATTCTCAATTTCAGAATGGTCGGCTCTTCAGAGCAAAACCATGACTCGTCGCCTGTCATCACTGAAGTACTGGGAAAAGCATCCGACGTGCCACCTGGAACGTGAGCAGATTAATTTGAACAGAATCCCCTCCGCTGATCTAATGGGCTATGGTTCTTCAGGAAGAAAGAGTTCAAAGTTAGAGATAAGCCGATATTGGTGATCAATGACAATGGAAAATTCTACGCCACATCCGGTCGTTGTGCCCATTATGACTACCCATTAGAGAAAGGTCAGTTAGTAAATGTTAGTCTGTTCATAACTCAGCCATACCTAAACAGCAGAAGCGTGAAACCTGCTGTTAGCGATTGGCACAGTCTAATGTACCCCTGGGAATTCATATAGGACCTCATCTCCATGCTGCTACTTCATATTTCGTGGTGCGCTATGAGCGGCAGGAGGTAGTGATTTGCCCTCTTACCTCACCTACTGTATCCTCTACCAGTCGGGTTGCTCAATCCAAAACAGGACGAAGGTATACCTGGGTTGATGTTTACCTACGGAAAGGTATTGATCGTCATCGATTTGCAATCGGTTGATCGAAGTTACAATGGCAAACTGGTTGTCTATGATGTCACTGACGTCACATCAACTTATCTTTGGTCTTCACCGTAACTGAGTTTGTGATAGGCTTCCCACGACACCCCCCTCCCCCCCTATAATACCTTCACGGAGGTCTGTGAATTTCGGAAAGGATGAACAGGCAGGCAAGCTACAATATCTCAAAGAGAATTTCAAACGTCGACGCCCTGATTTACTGGGATGATTAGTACATGAAAAAGGCTTCGGCTCCATTTTTCCACAACAGGTGGAAGTTGGAGGATCGGACTGATCATGATATGAAAGAATGAGAGGATCGTGAATGATTCGAAGTATTACGGCATCAGTCCTACGTCTTTCTCTGGAAAATGATCCTCTGTATTTCATTTCATTCCATTGTCAACTTTCTTGGCAGTTCAATTGTGTTCAGCTATAAAAAGTAGAAAATCATTTCCAGGCATTTACTCACATGGGAAACTTCGTTGCTTTCTTCATGGAGCATGTTACAATGTAAAATTTGGTGGTGACATTGAAGACTATCCAGGATTCGACAGCATTCACACTTATGACGTGGGGCTTCTTTATCATAATTAGTTGGCCTTTTTAATATTTCTCAACATGTACATCTGTTATATAATTCGTAACGAATTCTTATGTACAACTAACACCATCAGAACCCCATAAACTTCATAGTCTCAGCTCAAAATCACAAAAAAAGAACGCAGATTTACTTTTTTCCTTTTTTCGTTTTTCTTCTAGCAAATATTTTCTTTATAATTTATTAACTTTTTTCGTTTTCCTTTATAACTAGTTGGCTGTCACTTTTTGAATAGAAAGTTGTAAGTAGTTTGACTCAGCTCGTCGAGCTCTACAAAGCAGTATACTAAAATTTGGAAAGGTTCAATTTTGAGATCTTCGACCCACCGNAAATTCTGGGGCCCTCTTTAGCAGTAGTACTCGCTATAATTATGCCCAGAAGGCATTTAATTCCACTGAAGAATTCCGTGAATTGTGGAGTCGCTAACATATCCTTGGAGGAATGGGCCCATAAAGGCCTTGGATATCGCGCTACACAGCTTTTCCGGAAAATTGTGACCAATATGATCTCTACCATTCGTTTTACAAAAAAAGAAAAGATGCATCGTTTCAGAGGGGAGAGAATTAGGGTTCTTGACCCAGCATCTATCAAGACTTAGACCACTCTTGTTGCAAAAACGTAGCAAGATCGCTGACTAAGATGGGAAGGCTTGCTCATCTATATGGGTGGGATAAGTACATGATTGAACGTTCCCCAAGAGTATTTCCTTCGGAAAAGGTCAGCCAAAGTGATTGATAGTTGCATCTACACGGTAAAGGACTCTTTGAACCTTGTCCGTAACCTCCTACAATTGGACTAATTTCCAGAAATGAAGGAAGGCGAATTCTGGAGATTGTTACAAGGGATAGCCAATGGCTTCTACCTGCGGTTTATTATCGGTTTGGGAAGTAAACCAGATACCTTCAAAGAGGCATTCCATTGGGTTTATTTATGTAGTCTATGGATCCATTTGAAACAGTCCTACATCATTGACTGGGATGAGGGCTCACTTAGGTTTATTGAGTTTTTGGATTGATTTGCAGTCAGACATATATGAGCCTTATAGGGTTGTGTAAAGGCCATGCATCTGAATAAGAATCTCATAGTGTGGGGTATGAATTTTGCTTTGCAAGCAAACAACAGCAAAGCTCCGAGTTATTAGATCTGTATTGGATAGTTGCATCTTGGGATGCGCTCCCATCCGACCCATCCCTGATCGCTGTGGCGTTTGAACGTGGGTTTCGTCTACACAACAATTCATCAAAATTTAATCTATGCAACGGTTGGGACTACGTAAAATTTACTGGGGGGGGGGAATATAAAGCGTTAGCTCGAAACCTGCTGCATTTCCATCTTGCTGTATTACTGCAAGCCATGTTCAGTGGGTTATGTGTATGAATCTGAATAATGATCACGTCGTCAGGCATACCGTTTGTTATTGTTGCCCACTACTCCGTAATGGATAGTACAGAGGTTGACTTGTGCTGGACATGATTCTGGACTTGATCATCGGTGTTACATCTGATATGTCTGAGTTAAATTTCTCTGTGTTTCTCAAATAAATAAGCTCGTGCACAACATGAGGAGAAGGTATTTGAATGAAATCTGAGGCGACCTATTTTAGATAAAAGAACAGGACGGTGATCTCATACTGAGCACAACCGAAAAAGAGTTGGAATCGTCGAGAAGAACTCGACCATGCCCCGTCAAAACGCTAATTGAAGATGCGCCCATTATTGTAGTTGGAGGAGGTATGTACGATTGAAGACATCTTTGCAATGAATTGTGATCCTTGTTCATACTTTGCTTTCTGGAGGTCTGCGGAAATTCAGTAGCTTCCCGGTGATGTCGAAAGGACTGTTGATTCATTAAGATCCTGCTGATTCAGTTCAGATACAAATGATCCAGTTTGACCATATTTCATCTCATCCACACCCTTCACTTCTCTAGCTTACTCATTCACAGTAAAACAATCTGCCAAATCCTAATTCTCAGCGTAGCTGGATTGAAGATTTTGAGCTTACGATAAAAAAACTTATCAGTAGAACTTAGTCTGGCATTTCATTGGCCAACTTCATCGGTGGACTTACCAATGGGTTTGAGAGTGCAGTTAATACTCCTAAAAATATCTCCGTTTGTTTTCTAATTATAAACAGTGCCTCCAAGGTAAACTTCCTGCTACATATATGTAGGTTCCTCTGCTGAGATAGGAATTGCTCCGAATTACCTTCTTAGATAAGACCCATTATAGACCCACTATAGGCCCTTGTAGAGGCTATGGAAGGCCTGAATGAAACTTCTTACTTAACCATTTGATATCTCGGCAGTGGGCATGCTTTGGCTTGAATGAGAGAACAAAAAAATTGTTGGAGGATATGAAAGCTCGATAACATCATCTTTATCTCTGTAGTCCTGTCGCAAACCGATTTCTAATGAAACGAAAAGGAAATGTGAAAATGACAAATCCTTATCTGAGCTACACGGGGAATGAAGCTAAGAAAGGCCTCTTCAGAAACGCGTAACTAACCTTATCTCTGGGTTATAAGGTATGGGCTCGATAACATTCAGATAATGTCGATAGGAAGTTGGAAATTTTGCAGAATCCAGGACCAGCTGAGCGTCGAAATGTCCCCATGATCAAAATATTTTCTAAAAAGACTGTTTTATTGCTTTGTTTTTGATTTTTTTCTCTATCTATTCTTGACAGCTGCAAATATCGTCACTGCTAGTCATCAAGTCTATACATAGTCTCTAGCTCGAGTCTGGGCCGTAATATTCAACCAGATATGTATAAGCATAATTCAGATGTATTGAATGGGTTAAACATAAACCCAACATTCATCGTAAACTTCTTGATTCGTTGGTCTGTTTTAGTAAGAAATATGAGGAAAAACGAAAAATTTCGATGTCTATCAACCCCCCCCCCCCACTTGTGGTGCCCTACATCATCATTTTATTCAGAGTCATAATGACTTTTGAACGCATACTGAGCTACAAAATGTTTTACAATCACTGTCCTAGTTAGTAGCTTACCATTCCATTTAAGTATAGCTTCCAGCAAGGTGGAAGACCTTCTTGGTACTACCTTCTTTAAATATACGAGTACATATTTGTAATTGGTACTGATGCAATGCTTTAGAATGAGAAGACAACAGATTTCTGCTCATGAAATTCTTCTCTTGTGTCAGGAGGCCATTTACATCTCAAAAAGG